TTCCATGCTTCTATCATTTTCCCAATAGTTGCCTTTTCTCCCTTTGGAGACATTGTGGGGTGTTTGTCCCCCTCAGTTCTCATGTCTCACGCCTCCTGTGAATGACTTACATACACACAGGCCACTCTCAGTTTCAGCGACACACTCTCTCTAAAAGTGGCTTCATTTCACACTGCTCAGATGCTCACGTTTTCACTGTCTGTAGAAGTACAAACTTACTGATTTTTGTCTTTCTGTTATTTTAAGGTAACAAATAATTCTTCATATTGAAAAACAAAACTTGGTCTCATGAACTCTCCAGCGTGAACCTAGGCAGTTCTTACATCCAACTCTCCGTCCCTCTGTTTAGTGAACTCCCCACACCTTTGCTCCTGCTGTCCCTTCGCCTGAAGTGTTTGGTTTAAAAAAGGCACAGAGTTAGCACGCAGTAAATGTTCAAGAAAAAAAAATCCTATGGCTACATAACTAGTTGGTGGTAGTTAAAACTCAAATTAGATCCCAACCTCACTTAATTATTAAATGAATATTTTACTGATGAAGAAACACATTAATGTAGGTTAAGAAATTTGTACAATATACATCCAATTCCAAAGCTGCAGACATGAAAATTCTCTCCTGGGTTCCAGGAGTTAGGATCACCCCTCTTCTCCCACTCCACTCGTCTCTCCTCCCGGCCTTTGGCTCTCCATTAGGAGATTCATTTTGCCCAGCAAGTGACAAGCAAGCATCCATCATGTTCTGAGCTAGACGATCTCGAAGGACACTTTTAGCATGGCATTCTAGGTCTCTGGGCCCTTTGCAAAATTGCGTGTTTGGGTTAAGATTTCAGGCTCTGGAATCAGGCCTCATTCAAACCCTCAAACCAGCTCTGCAACATACCAGCAGACTGCGAGGAGGGGCAGAAATCAATATAAATGTGTGGATAACCTAACCTCCTCAACCTACTTCATTTTCTTTAAATAAATATAGGGTAGTCATATATGTACTTCTTACAGATGATTAAAATAAGATAATGTCTGTGAAATTCATATCACAGAACTGGGATGTGCATTGCAGAAAGATCCCAATAAGTGTTTCCAAGTATTTTTGCCAAGCTGATGGAAATTCAGATGCAATAAAGAAAAAAGATCAAGGTAGTGAGGAATTAATTAAAGCCAATTTCAAAAATGAGTGGTATCCATAGTTTAAAGGGAAAAAAGGTGAAACATTCAGGGATAGTATAAAAACTACAACTATGTCTAGATGATTAATATCAGAAAGGATTTTTTGGTGTTTGCTCTTAATGAGCTTTGCCAAATTAAACTGTGGCATTGATTGTATTTGTTATATCTGTTAACTAGAGTTATACTGGCAAAATCCAGCCATTGTGACACACTCTGTAGATGAAATTGGGGATCAGTGATGTATAGAAGGAGTTACACATATCTTTTCTCCTGATTTCACTACGCCATTTGCAGAATCTCTAGGATAAACTAAAGAGACTGAGAACTTTCACAAAATATCAGGAAATGTTCCAAAGAGTAAAGCATATGATACTGTGGAGCCAACTCTGGGAAATGGACGTAAGCCCTCATTAATAACTCTTGTAGAGCTAAGCTGGCTGCGGACCTGGGAAATGCCTGAAGGGCTAAACTTTATATATTTCAATCCCTGAAATGTATCAAATAGCCTGGTTGTTTTGTGCAATTCTGCAAGTCCATAAGAAACTATGAGGGCTAAGTCACTGGACAAATGTCTATTGCATGCCCACCATATGCAATACTCTATGTTCAGGATTGGGAATACAGTGATGAGTAAAATAGTGGCCCCATACTGATAGTCAAAAATGTAACAAAAGTAAAATACAATGTCACAAGTACTGTGACATAGGTATTCACAGGTGCTATGGATTCCCATTAATAGTGCACTTATCTCTAGCTACAAGATAGGAAGATACTTCCCAGGAAAAATACTGTAGGGTACCCAACATGTATAGATTAATCAATCGATAATCACCCAGAAGGGAATCTCTACTATTGCCATGCTAGGGCACTTAAGGGCCCTCTGAGACCTGTCACCCAATTTTTAAAATAGGGTCTTAAATTAACAAAAAGAAGACATGTTCGTTAGGTCTGCGTGTGGCATAAAGCTGGGAGAGAGTAAATCGACAACTGAAATAAGATTCAAAAAGATCTAGCAGTCTGGGAGGATGGCCTAAAACCAAGAAAAATGTAAAAATCTGTATTAAAAAATCAAATATATAAAAACGGGATGAGAGAAAACTGGCTCAGAAACAGTCTATGTGAGAAGACATAGGGAATGATTAACTGGAAGTTCTTCTTGGTTTGACTATAAGCTTCTTTAATGAAGCAAAATGTCATTAAACTGTAATATCCTTAAGGGCAGGGATCACATCTTAAATATTTTAAAATCCCTCCTTTGCCTGGCATAGGGCCTAATACAGAGTATGAGCTCAAAAGAACTTTCTTAAATGGAGTCAAAACTAAAAAAAAAGCCTGGAGCGATAGGCCCCACTAATGAACAGGCAGTGGTCAGGACCATCAGAGAAGGCTGTCAGTTCTCCTCTTATGTACAGCCTTTCTGATACTGCTCTGGGTTTTCTCCTCTCTATTTTCTTCATAAGATAAAAGTCAAAATCATCTGCATGATTTAAAAGGCTGGCCTGATGCCCCACCTGACCTCCAACCCCACTTGACAGGGCTTTTCTTGCTTACCCACTGCTCCAGCACTTTCTTTCAGTTACTCTAAGGCCCCTGTGTCCTTTCCAGTCCTGGTTTTCTGCCTGCAAGACCCTTCTCCATCCCTATCCTCAGACACACATTTTCTACTTGCTTCTCTTGGTTTACTCTGTGTGTTGCTTTAACTTACTCGGAGAACCAACCTCTGAAACCACAGCCCAATTCTGGTCCCTTGATTGCATGATCTCAATGTGTCCCCTTTCTAGCACTTATCACGACGATCGTTCAATGTTAACCATGGAACTGTTGTTTTAAATCTGCCTTCCCTGCTAGAATGTGAACTCTATTAAGGGCAGGGACTTCAGCTGTCCTGTGTCTTCACCACCGAGTCCCAAGAACCCAAGCCAGTGTACCTCTACTATTAATGTGTCTATGGATGACCTGGGGGATCTTGGTAACCTGCAGTCTCTGTCTGATTCACAAGGTCTGAGGTAGGGCCTGAGATCCTGCATTTTTTTCCAGGTGATGCTGATGCTGCTGGTTCTCTGACTCACTTTGAGGAGTCAAATCCTGCAGCATAGCCTGCCCATGTGTCCTCATTGCCTTTAAAGCATTTCTCTCTTTCCATCCTCACAGCTATCGTTTTAACGAAAACTCTGTGTATCTCTCACCCAGATGACCTGTCTTCCAGCTGTTCTTCTTTCCTCAGTTTCCTGGAGGTGCAGCTCTTAGACCACATACCCTTAAAAGTTCTTTCTACAGTGTAAACCTAATCATGTTGTCCCCCTTCTTTAAAGACTTTATAGACTCCCTGTCGCCTTGTAATCTGAGCTTCTCACAACGGCATTCAAGGCTCTACTCTGCCTACTTTTCTGGTCCTGCCCTATGAAAGGCTTTGCAGTTCCTTGAATTCACTAGGCTGTTTCATTCCTCCCTTCCTTTGCTCAGGCTGCTGATTCTCCCTGGAATACCCTCTCCCAGCTCCATCCACCTGTCAGAAATCTACTCATCCTAACTCACCTCCTTGTACGGGAAGCATTTCTTGGATTCCTCTCTCCAAGGAGAATTGGTCACTCTCTCATTTAGGTTCCACTGTAGCTCCTTGTACCAGACTAGCTTATTTATGGGGCAGTCTCCTTCTTCTGGGCAGTGAGTCCTCTGAGCACAAAACTATGTCTCATTCATCCCTGTTACTTTCATGCCTGGCATGTGGTTGGCACTTAAGGAATGTGTAACTCTTGAATGGATGTTATAGTGCTCTGCTCCAGATACCACATTTTAAAAGAGATGCTTTGACACGGTGGAGTCCATCTAAAAAAGGAACATGAGCATTGGTCCAGAATCCCTGTGATATGAGAAACAGTTTGAAAAATGATCCAAACATGAGGCCTGGAGAAAAGATGTGCCTGCACATATTAGGCTCTCAATAAATACTTATTGAATGAATGAATAAATGAGTCCTACTAGCCCTCTGCATAAGGAGCTATCAGGTAGAAGAGAGATTACATGCATTCTGAGTTGTCTGTAGCTCCAGAAACTCCAATGTTACATCTAAGGCAGAGCTCTCAGTCTGATAGAATAATAAATGTCCTAACAAGACCAAGATGTACCAAACTTCACTTCCTCTAGGAGCCATCTAAATAATCTCTTACTTTTACAAATACAAAAACAAAGTAACATGACATAATCTCTGGACCAGTTAAGGTTATTTTTGTGGCAAATGACAGAAAAAATATTAAGTCGTGGGTGACATGTTACCTTTAATGGTGTCATCAGGACCCCTAATCTCTCTCTTTCCTTTTTTCTCCCCAGCAACAACTTTCCTCTGTATTGGCAGCCTGAGCTCACTTCTCTTCAAAGCAAAGGAAAAAAAAAAAAAAGGACTTCCTCCCGCTCCAGCACTCCTCTTCCAGGACAGGCTGGAACTGTGACTGAACAAAGCCCCCTGGCCCCAGGAGGGCAGTCCTCTGCTGAAACAGAAAATCAAATACCAACATTGCATCTGCTGCACCTGGGGGAGGAAGACAAGGAAGGGGCTGAGACTGAAGGAGAGGACAACTTCCCAGACTGAAACTGGCTAAGAGTTACCCAAAGGAAAAATATGAGCTGGAAGACAAAAACAGCAATTAGTCACCGTGGCCTGAATCCTTGTTCTGGCCTGAACCCTTGTTCTGATTCTAGAACGGATAACTACATTCAATACTACGTTTGCACATAATATAAATTCAATGGAAACTCCTGAGCAATTCAACCCACATTTTACTAACCTGGTAAGAATTCACTATTCCTATAACATAGACCAGAAGAATTCTCTGCATTGACTTTCTTTATTCATTTCTTCAAAAAAAAATGTTTTTATTGTATTGAGGATACAGTGATGAAGAAAATTATCCTCATGAAGCCTATAATCTTATGGAGAAGGTAGCCAAGTAAAAACACACAAAGTTACAAAGCCAGTGACAAGTACTGTAAGAAAATAATCAACTTGCATATTTTTGTATCAAGATATAAAAAGATAAAGTAAAAGTTTAATCGCACTCCTTTAAGGCTGTTTTCTTTCTTCACTTGACGAGCTCTGAATTATAATGCAGATTGGCAGGAAGATTATCTTTGCTGAAGTAATCTCAGTGTGTCCTTGGCATATCAGAAGTAGAAAAGGTATCCATTTGCTTGGAGCTCAGTTTTAAGCCTGGCGAATGTAAACTCACTGCCACAGAAATCAGCACGTTCACAGCACAGAAAACAACAGATTAATTCAGGCGAAATGAGCGGCTTCTATCAGTGGCTGGGTCTATAAAGAATAAAAAAGGAGAAAGTGAGGAGATCGGCAGTATCTCAATTCCCACACCATTTAATCCCTCATGTCATCTATATTCCTATCATGATCCCACAAAGCATATGACCCCTCAGGTGTCTGTCATCTTTGCTGGGGACATCCTTTTCTCCATCTACAGGGACACTGCATACTATTCACTCTTCAGAATCTGAAGTAGGTGAAGAGGTTTAGGTGATACTCTTTTCTCAGGGCAGAGAACAACAATGCTTTTATGTTAATTGTCTCTGGAACCTCGATCATGTATTTTAGGTTATTTAGGTCCTGAATGATGGCAGTGGTAGCTAAATTACAAAGCTTACCAGAATTCTGATCTCTGCTTTTCACTCGATTTTTAAAATTTTTCCTATTGCTTATTAAAAGCTTAGTTGCTATTGCTAAGTAGCACGCTGTATATATGCTAGGTTGGAGAACATGTAGGAAAATGGTCTGGATTATTTTGTTATCTCTTTTGCAGAAAACACAGATGTGCTACACTCAGGTGATCTAAGAAGCAATGAGTTCCATTGTAATTGCTGGCCCACACTGTGGGCCCAGCTGGGCTGACATTTTAATTTCTGTCACTTTTGTGGTTTCCATTATTCTGGAGGCCAAGGTATAAACGTGTCTGGAATCACAATTTGCGGAAGGTTAGTAAAATTGGAAGAGGGCCAGGACTATTCAGTGCCTGCGATGGATTTCTCGGAGTGTCTCCAAATTTATGGGTTGTCCGTTTGTGCCATGTGGCCAAACCTGAGTCTAGAATAGACAGTTAAGACAAAATTATGCTTACTGCAGCCTAGGTGTAAAATGGAAAAAAAAAAAAAAACTGAGTCGAGTGGTCTGGAGAGGGTTGCTTCTGTGCTTTAGAAGGCTAGTTCAATAGAAGAATGCTGCTGGAATGTGGTAAGGCTTGAGGATGCTTATGAAGCAGTTACTACATAAACATAGAAGATAATTTAAAAGAAAAATGATGGCTAAGACTGAAATGGCTTTGACTTTGGGCAAACGTTCTGTCTACTGAAAATGAAGGAAGTTTTACATAATGAATAAAAGCCTGGCATTCTGGTCCTAGCCCCACGACTTATCAGCTGTAAGAACTGAGAAAGATAACTTCTCAGAAAAGTAGAAGCATTGTGGAGTTATGGTTAAATGAGGTAATACATATAAAGTGTTTAGCATAATGCTTGACACTAGAAAGTGTTCTGTCAAGCCTTATTAGAAGACAACCTCGAATGTTATCATCTAGTGGCTTCTAAGGTTTTTGAGGTCTCAAACTACCTGGTGAATTTGATGAAAACTATGGGTCCCTGTTCCTTAAGGAAAAACTACACATATACAAAATTTCTGCACACAGTTTTAAGAAATTCAGAGATACAAGGCTGTACAGCATAAACTTTAGCTTAATATTCTTTGTTCTAGGCCTAGGCCCATTCCCAAAAGAGAGAATAAAATCCTCAGTTTTATTTATTTTTACAGTTTTTGATCATTTATAATCATAGTCTCATAACTTTTCAGATTGAAAGGAAATTTTTTATCTAGTCTAACTCTCCCCACTTTTTTAGAAATAACATATTAAGGGCTTAAGAAAACATTTGATGTTTCAGATAAAAAGGAAACTCATTGATTCAACATTTCTATAATTAAAAAAATAAATTTTCTTTATTGACTAACCTTCAAATTTGAGATCTTCTTTAAAACTTACTATATTTTTACTTTGCCTAATCCTGTTCTCTGTGATACACTTACAGCCCTCAGAAGCTCATGTTCATTGAAAGCCCCAGGATGGCTACAGTGATCATTTTTTCTGTGTATCTTAATTAGCATATCAAAATCGACTCTGATGTACCTGTCTGATGCCGTGCTATTTAACAGAGAAGAGTCTTGTTGAAATACAGTACTAGAGTAATAACTTTCTCAAGTAAGAATTCAAATTAATAGACTTGCTGAGCACCCACTATGGGACAGGCTCCAGTCCATGCACGTGGGGTACATGAAGGAATAAAGTCCAGACAGAGATGTGAAGCTTTTAGTCAAACAGTAAAAATGACCTTTTCTTTTGGAAGAATGTGGCTGTGGTTGCGATTCTACTCATGGACAGGGCCAGAGGTAACCTGCACATGGGAATATGCCACCAGTGCCTCCAATACCATTACTCAAGGACACTTGCCTTCATTTGCTTAGACAATAGCTGACTCAGCATGAGCAGCACTAAACACAGAATAGCCAAAGCTTGTGTAGGCAAAATTTCACCCAAGCTTTACCCCTGGCAGGAGCAAGAACTACATAAAGTGGCAAATAGGCCATATTATAGGTAAGTATCTCTGGGCTTTACCCTGCAAAAATATTAAGCACTTGTACTTTGCTTCCAGGATACTTTGGGCGAATTTTGAGGAGAAATTAAACAAAAGAGCAAAGATACTAGAGTTTAGCAGTTTGCTCTAGTTTGAAAGTAGCAGGGAGTAGGGCTGATAAGTGTGGAAAAGAAGCAAATTGATCAAAGGGATGGGAGACTGGAACATGGAAAGTTGAAAATAGGTCAGATAAGTGACAAGGCCAAAGGCAAGAGACAGTGAAAGGCTTTGAAATCATATAATCTTGCTGAATCTGCTTTTGAGGCCCCAGAAGTCATGATGACACAAAGTCAGTGTAGCTAACATGTCATTGGAATCCATGGGCTCTAGGAATGCACCTGGTCTCACTGTAGAATAGAAACAGAATGACGTTGCCGAAGCCCTGAAAGCAAAGGGCGAAGAGGACAGACTTGATGTGGTGCTGAACTGGCTCAGGAGCTGGCAGTTTGGGGCTAGAGCTTCTGATCACCCCCCAGTTGCTGTCCTATCTAAGGGAGCAGAGCACTGGTCTTCATTTGGAAGCTACTTTGGGCAGCGCCTGGGTTAAAGAAACTATGACATCAACACATGCAAGCGTCTACCTTACCTTCTTCGCTTTTTCTACCTAGAAAAATCTTACCCCTCCTTGATAGCCCCCAACTCTAGAACCTTAGCCAACTTTAGTTCTTGAAAAGGGAGAGAAACTCTTCTTGACGTTCTTAGGAGGATCCAGCTTAGGCTTTGCCTCAGCCCCTTTTAACCTGCGATGTCACCGCACAATGGGCTAAGAACGATTGTGAAAAAGCAAAAATTATTTCATGACATCCGAGGAAGGTGAAATCAACCTAAATGAGTTGTGTCATTTGCTCAAGATCACAAAATCATTTACTTATGACAGGATAATGCAATGACCTTTTTCATGTTCACTCATACTTTGCAAGCCATGATATTTTTGGCTGAACTGCTTATCTTCTGTCTCAGTGACTGCTTTGATAGACAACAGTATAAATATCCTGTAGCCTGGTTCCTCGGTTTTGTAAACAACCAGGAAATAAATAAGGCATTTTGCCTGGTGACCAAGGCAGACTCACAAATAGGCTTCTACAAACACAGGGCAATTGTAATAGACAAGAATGACAGAACCTGTGGCTAGGTCCATGTTTTAAACATCCTGCCTATTATACCACCCGGAGGACCCTCTCGGCCTAGACCTATATTTTAAAAAATCAGACCTATTTATAACGTGGTTAGGTTCTTGTGTGAGTCATACAGAATACATTGGGTATATTATCTTTCATGATTTTGTTCATATCAAGAAAGGTAGTTGCCTCTAGCAGAGTAAAACTGGGAATCATCAGCTATCGGCTACTAGGCAGAGCTCTAGAACTGTTCCAAGGCTCTCTATCTCAGAATTCTTGCTCTTAAATGGGAATACTATTTCCTTTTCATTAACTGGAAAACTGCAATTCTTTAGTTAAAAGCTTAAAGAACGATTATGACATGCTATCTCTAGTATAGAAAAAATAATTTGTTGAGAGCAGGACACATAAAGGTATGTATACATAATGTATGTGTGTGTGCGCACGCTCTCACCTACATACAAGAGCAAGCTCAAGTTCTAGAAGAGATTGTCTTTCTTCATCTCTAGAGAGATGAGAATGAGGGATACACCATTGTCCAAATGTCCAGGGATACATTTCTCCAAGCACTTAGGTTGTTCATTATTCAACAGAGTCTTTGAAACAGAGTTCTCTATTTTGGAATATGATTGAATAGACTAATAGACAAAAATGTACTTTGCAAACACAAGTGCAATAAAGATGGTTGATGATAAACCTTGCATGTTATCAAGTACTTGAGGCCCTTTTAAATCAAACGAACAGTGGTAAATGGTATCAGGGAACCTGAAACATTAAAATTCAAGCAAATTTCAATTGCTATTGAAAAAAAATATTACCATTGTGTGAAACCTTTTAGAAACAATAATAGCTAAATTTATTAAGTTCTCATAATAGGAAGGACACTGTTGCAAGCACTTATTAGTTTTTCACTTAATCCTCAAAAAAAAAACCCCTATAAAGTACTAAAAAATGGAATTTAAAGACTTTTTGAACAGTGACTAGATTATACAATATAGAGATAGAAAAAAAGTTTTCAATTCCACCTTTACAGAGCTCTTAGGTGATACATTTCAGGTCACATTGTATAATATTTCCATTTGCTTCTATCCCTTGGCATTCTAGTTCCCCACAGACATGTGTATCTCTAGATGTTCATGTCTTCTCAGAGAAACAGAAAATTCAGTGACGGGTCTCATATATAAAGACTAGTAGAATTATCTCATCAACAGCAAGTCTAATACAACCACAACCCTTCTAGTATTGCCCAGAGAGAAACATCATTTTCTTTTCTTCCCTAGCTACAAAGTTCTCAAAAGTGTGGCAAAGATGATCCAAGGTCTTAGCAAATCCTTAGAATTATTTTCCAAGGTCTTAGCAAATCCTTAGAATTATTTTACTATGAGATAAAGAACATGTTCATGGGTTTCTGAGCTCAGAATAAGTCCGATATAAATGAGAGAGGGAGGGAAGAAGGGAAGGGGGAGAGAGAGAGAGAGAGAGAGAGAAGAACGGAGAGGTTTATAAA